TTTCCCTATGTAGTACCCTCTGTGCAACTCCAAGCACAGGGCAAAAAGGACACTAACGAGAAGCTTCTTCAAGCCTATTATTGGTCTTTGATATTTTGGTGATCATCTTGGGTATTAATAATTAAAACAACACAACCCAAATCAGTTTTAAAAGAATCAAAGCTACTTGTTCTAGCAGTGCAGTGTTTCAAGTTTAACACCCAAATATAGAAGGATTCGGAAATAAATCCTTTGTGACTTTTGAAAATCTTGGACGTGCCAAAGGACAGCAATGGCACAGTTTAAAATGGAGCTCCCAGCCCAATATTCTATTAGCTCAGCCAGACACCATCTTCTTTTCTGTGTTGAGCTGTGTCAGTATGTAACCAATCGTGACAAACGTTCACTTATTTCAAACTACTCAAATATCATTTAAGTAACTGCTTTCAGTTAGCTGCACTCAGTCCTTTTATTCTGGCATTACAATACAAGAAAAATAACAGTAGATAATATTACTGCAGTTTAGTAAAAAAATACTTATGCTTTAAGTAATAAGAAAATAGAACCGAAGTCAAGCTTTTCCATTTAATTTGTATACAAGTTCAATTACAGGCAATACCTCCTAAATCACAAGCAGATTTAAACTGTGAAAGATCAAATGCTGTAGCCACATCTCTTGCTGTGAGGTGGGCAATGCTGTGCATGGCAGCCATAAAACGTTGCTTCACCTCCTGGCTGTCATAATAGTCCTAAAAAGAGAAGAAAACACACAGAAACTGAAGTTTAATTTCATTACTTAACTAAAACTATGTAAAACCAAGGCAGTAGGCGCACACCATTAAAATTAGAATTCTAAAAGATCAAAGACTAGCTGCTCATCCAAGTCCTTCGCTGTTTCACTGTAGTGATAAGCAAATTTTTGCATCCTCTCCAAAATTCTGATCACACTGACATCTTTTGCAGTGTGTCTCAAAGGACATACACTTCGCTGGTTTGAACCTGGTCTTGCTGATGTCCCAAGGGCTGTTAAATTCAACATTTCTGCTCACTGAAGCTGGGGCAGCATAGCAGGAAGAAGGGGTAATCTGAAAACTGCTTTTTGAAGAAATATTATGCCTTTGATATACATTACTAACACATTTGCTCCTTAAAGTGTTTGAAAAAACAGATTGAGTTTTTTTTCTTTCAGTCTCGTAAAGTGTTCTTCCTTCTTCCTGATTTAATTTATTCACGAATTGCTTTCCTTTAATTCTGACATTTATTTTCCCATCATGGGAAAATAACTAGACGATTGGACCATAACTTAAACCAGAAATATTAAAGCGCATACTGGGCTTTTGATCAGGTGAGATGCAAGCAGGCAGTACCAGAACCTCATGCCTTTACCATGGAAATGATCCATAAGCATAATTCCTTTACGTCTCACTTTCATAAAGACTTCATCAGTTATGTCTGTCTTTTCGATTACCATGAAATAGAAGGATCTCCAGGCTGTGGTATACATAGTGCCATAAGCAGCCCATATATTCTGCTTGGACATACACGTGGAGCCTACGCCTGAACTGGTAGTGACTCCTGCCACAAGCATCACCCAACCAAGGTCAAGCTGGTAATCCAGATGTTTAACAAAGGCTGAGATCCAGTTCACCTACGTTAAAACACTTAACTTGCACATATCCTAGATCTACCCTAAAGCAAAGTATCTAAACTCCCTTTAAAACAGCCTTTGAAGGATTCCTAAAGGAGGTTCTGTCCACCAGTAATCTAGGTACTAACATTAGGCTAACTGGACCTTCTTAAGTCTCCAAAAGCTCTTATTTCCGGCAACTGTATATGAGGGATGTAGGCATCTCCTTTGGCTTCACCAGCATCTAGAGGTATAAATTAAAGAACCTCAGGATGTAGTCTGAAGTACACTTTAAGCCAGCACTGCTGTCAGAGATGAAGTTCTGACATATTCTCCTGCTCACTCTACTAACCCTCAATATTTATGCCCCTCAACCTGCTTCACCAGGTGGATAATTGACAAGTTAGGCTAGCTGGAAAAGGAATGCTACAGAGATGGAAACAGATGGAAAAAAGGATTACAATTCTTATCAGCAACATACATCAGCTTGGAGCATATACGAAGCTATGAACCTTCATAAAAGAGATTGGATCCCTTCTCCACTGCATCAACACAAAATTACTTTGAGCACAGCTGTGACTACACTGTCAGCAGGGATTGAACTGGATGCACATCAGTACCGAACGATTGGCATCAAATATGGAAGGAGTGCACATGTGATAAGGTACTACCTGATGTTACAAAAAGGCCACACAAATGTAAAGTAAACAGGCCCAGAGGTTCTTCTGAGAATGTGTTAGCTGGATGGGCAACACATTAGCCAGAGAATTTTTGTCAGCACTCGAATTTCCCAGTTTATTCTGTGATTGCTCCAGCACTTTAGAAGCCTAAAGTTGAAGGGAACAGAAGCCTAGGACTAGTGAGTTGCATTGTGTTTCTACCATTTCTGAGAATGACCAGCTTTCTCAGGCAGCTCAGTCTCTATTTGGCCCTAGATCAGTTCTGGGCTCCTCACAGCTAGTTTTGATACTAGTAAGAGTTTACATTACCTTAAATAAATCCTCTGCTTTCTTTCCAAAGGCTCGATGGTTCTGCCTGCTGCCTTCTTTGACTGCAGACTCCAAGTTTGTGAAGAGAGGCCAAAGGTGGTCATTAGAGTGGATAATATAGCCATGAAGTGAGTATTCACCATCTGAGGTCAGGTAGGTATTTGCTGAATCTGTATTACTGTAACCTTATGGGAAGAAAACAATTGTAACCAGCTTTGTTTCAGTATTTTACAAATGTCATTTAAAATCTGAAGCATGTCTTCCTGTGTAGCTGTTAAATGCTAGCAAATCTTGATCTTAGGATCATATTATTTTTTGTCCAGAGATTTCTGAAATAATTCTAAAGGTCTTCTCATTCTTAAAGGAGCAGGTACTTTGTTAATAAAAAGAATTTAGATGCCGGAGGATACAGATAGGCACCGATTTTTTTT